AATACTTGCTTTTGATCTGAAATATTTAGCAAACATATAAATATTTCCTAAATATGTATGTAATATTTTGTGCTATCTGGGCTGATGCTTGTAACAGCAACTGTGTTTTTATTTTAACTTTCCTAGTTTTCAATTGTTAATTATATTGATAAAAGCATTCCATATCAACTATAGTGGTGTATGAATTGATTATTTCAATTGCACTTTTTTATCAATAGCTTTAAAACGCTTTTAACGGTTTTAATAATATTTTCGCGGTTTTTTAAACATTTTTTTGATTTCTCGATCACTTCAATTCGACCCGGAAATTCTACGGGTGTACCCATCAAGCAAGTTGGTTGTTTTTTGTAAAAGAAGTATTATCCTGTAGGTTATTGACGGTTTTTATGTAAAAATTAAACATTTATGTATTAGGCTTTTGTTAGTGGGTCACGTCATACCAATATATCGGCTCGGCTTTGAACATTATAAACTATATCAACAAAAACTACTAAAAAACTGTGTTATAAATAAAAGTTGAAATTAGTCTAGTCTTTTATATTGCGGAAATTTTTTTGGGAATCTTGAAAAAATAAAAATATATTCGTGTTTGTTTCTATTTAAAAAAATAAGTACATATATGAAGAAACTAATTATACAATTTTTTTATTGTTTAGAGAACCAGCTTTTTTTGGATTTGCTTGCAAAAAGTAACATAAAAAAATATTTAAAAAATTCATAGAAAATCACCCAGAAACCCTACATGAACTTATATTTGTGCAAATAACTCGAAAACCAAGAAAGATACGAAAAAACTGTAAGAGATCAGCAAATTCTTAAATCAAACAAAAAATGCAAAAATGTGTTCGGGCGGGGGTCAGTGGCGCACCACAAAAAAGTTCGGGGGTTACCTCTATAAAAAAGCACACCCTGTAGATTTTCACAACCAGTCGCCTTACCTACGGGTAAAGGGTCTAAACGTTAGCCTATGTTTAAAATTTGAGCAAAATATCTCATAAACTTTAGGAGTTAAAGAGAAAATCCCAAAATTTTTTTGAAACTTTAACACCCTGTATCTTGTGGGCCTGAGAAAAAACCTTAAATGGAAACTCTACACGCCCCTGCTCTGTGTCCATAAGGTTGTTAATCACCCTGTATATTTTCCACAAGTTTTGGATTTGGGAATTTTTATCTTTGTTCGATTGACCGATAACATGTGAACTAAACCTTTGAACAGCAAACCTACAGTTTTGCCTGCAGTTGTTGCAGCTTTAGGTTTCAGAAATTTAACTTTCTACTAAATTTTGGAGGAGATTAAAGCGGCCATGGTAGAAGTTTCCTGCAAAGTGCAAAGTTTTACCTTAAAATCTACAGCCATCAATGAATATGCAGATAAGCTAACTTTTCTGTGGAATACTTGGACATTTGCGAGGCGTCTGAACTAAGGCCATCTATCAACCCACCAGTTTGACGAAAAGTTCACAAACTTGAACTTTGAGGGTAAATTACGGTCCAAATATTTGATGAGCAAGGATTACAATACCTATCTCTACCATGCTTTCGGTCCCTTTATTTGTTAACAACTCATTTGAAATTTATTAGATAAACACTATGTTATTTTTATTTTAAGTTCACTTTCTGTTAGATCTGATCGGAAAATTCTATTTTAGTGTTCAACAACGTGCATGAGCGTATTAGACTACAAATACATTTAACTAAAACTTAAATTAATAAAAGTGCAATAAAACTTTTCTGGCATTCAACCGTTAAACCTGTGCAATCGCGTACAATATTAACACTGTTGTCTGGTTTTTTATTTGATTTGTTGTACTCATCTTAGTTTGAAGCACGATTTATTATTTCAACTTTTTTTTCGATCGCATTATACGATTCAATTCCTATGTAGAAATAATGGGCTGGAGAGTAATTTTGATGAGAGCTTATTAAATTTATAGAAAGTTAAATAAGAATCGTTTAAATCTATTACCTCTTATTGAATGTAACAAACAACCCTGACTATGATTCCATACGCTTTTATATAGAATTTTATATCTGTACAGTGCATAAAAGACAATGATGGGGTTTAGTTAAGGCCTGGGTAACACTGTGTTAAGTTGCGCTATTGAGTTGTTGCCGCTCTCTGAGTTACCGAGTTCTAACTCATCGGTTAATGAGTTATAATTCATTTATTAAAACTACGAGACCCGAGCCTGGAATTTTCGCAGCTAAAAAAAGGTTATCAACATTTTTTCTGAGTAACGTTTTACTACTTTGTTCAAACAACTAAAAAAAGTCATGTAGATTTTCCCAGTTTTTGCAACAGAACTGAGTCCAGCGAAAGTCGACGAGTTTTCTTGTAAAATAGATATCTTAATTTTTTTGCATAAAAGATTCAGTTTGTCAGTATTTTACACGGAAACGTTAGGAAAAACTTGGGTTTTCTGTTTAGAGACAGTGTTGTTTAGAAATATTGACCTAAAATTGAAGAAACCCCAGTTTCCAAGAGTTTTTCAAATAAATGATTATACACTTTCGCTTTTTCCGTTCGGGGAAATATTTTTGGAAAATCCCCATCACCCAGAAATAATTATTACGGTTTTGTCCATAACTCGAAGCTGCAAAAACTTTTCGAAAAAGTTTAGCAAAATACCTGAAGACTGTCAGTATTCTATGTAATACTAAAAAATAATGCTTAATAGAAACTTTGCTAAAACTGGAGTGGCCTGAAAATTTAAAGGAACTTTAATATTCTTTAGAGCGATGAGGTCGACGAATTTTTAAAACTTTTGCTCTTGTCGTTTTTTCAAGATATTCCTAATTACGTTCGAAAAAACTTAATAAATAAAATTAAAAAACTTAATAAAATTATTTTCTTTCTGAGCCAAATTCGAAGTTGAAATGGGTTTTCGAAAGGAGAATGTTCTAGCAAAATTAATTTTGTAATTTTTAAAAAATAATCCTTTTTTTGGGTTTTCGATTAAAAACTTTCAGTTTTGTGATCGGTTTTCGAGAAAACCTTAATGGCTTTCGGGAAAAAACGGTAGGAATTTATTTTCGTTTGTGTCCCGAGTTCGACACTGAAAAAAGTTTTTGTAAAATTTTTACAAAGCTATAAATTTATCTTGTCATTTTTCGCGTAAAAGTCCTACAGATCGTCACTGTTTTTAAGTGAAACTCTACAAAATAGATCACTTTTGAGTAGAAAATAAGGCGAAAAAAAATTTTAATGGCTTTGAAAATAAATCTAAAACAAGTAAAAAGTTATCAACCAGCAACGGAACCGAATTATTGCGCCGGTACGTTGGGTTGGCGCACCAAGCCATTTGCGCAGCACTGCGCCAACTCCTAAAAATTCACTGAGTTACCCAGGCCTAGTTTAGTTAAGTTGGAGAGTGTTTCAGTAATTTGCTAGAGAAAACATAAATAAAACCGAAAATGCATTAATTTGACTAAATTGTATTAGACAAAACTGGATATAAATGTTGTCATAATGAAAAAGCTGCATATTAGTAGTATATTAATACCAAAAGGTCGAATTCCTGTTTACTATAAGCCCCAAAAGTGGCCAACGGCCTTCAATTATCTCTCACCTAATCGAATTTTCATATTTTATCAGTGTCGAAATGCTCGTAATGGGACAAGCTTAGGTATGTTAGACTAACCGTACCGCATATACTAACTGGAGCAGAAATTACGCATTCCACGTTAAATTTTCAGTCAATAACTTTGATTCCTCAAATACAACTGAACACTGATACGGAACTAAGAATTTACAGCAGATTTCAATCGAGCATTAAAAGTAAAAGGGTAATTTCTGTTTAAAAAAAATGTGGCAACCGTTTTAGAAGCCACCCGAGTGGTCCTTTAAATTATACGTGATCGTAAAAACTCTTAAAACAAAAATTGTTCTCCTAAAACTAAAAATAAGTGCTAATGAGGTGGCGAATATTCAATCAATACTCCTATAGATTTTATGGAAGTCTTGAACGTGCGGTTAGAGTGTCTGCTAAATTATTGCTGATTTTGCTTCGTCACTGACGTCACTACCGGAGGTTTGTATAAGAGTATTTTGCTGAAATACATAAAACTGTAATGGGATGGCTCGTGATACAATGCATTATTGGCTTTATGTTTCTTGTGTAGGGAAAAGTACATTTGCGGCAACATGACGGAGAATTGCCCAAGCAGAAACAGCATTTTATCAAAATGGCTCGATTTCCAAGAGCTGTGGCTGATATTGATTGCACCCTCATCAAAAATGTATCTGGTGCTGGCGAAAATGCGGAAGTTTATAGGAATGAAACTAGTTTTTTTCCTTTAGTTTGTAGAAACTACAAAATAACAAATCGCCAATTTAAATTCCCGCGAGTTTAGATCAGCTTCTAATTACTAGACTTCAAAAAACTGTTGATAAATCGAAGCTTTGGAGTGCTGAATCACTTTTCGAAGAATCTCAATTACACGAGGATGTTTGGAAATACAGTTGAAATGAACAAATTTTCAACGAATTTCAACAAAAAGGCAATGGGTTTTAAGTTTAACAGAATACCGAATATTACTAATTCCTGGGTCAAAAACTCAATATGCCTCTCTTAGTCTATACTCTTAACAGAATGCCAATATCGATTTGTTTAGAGACCATTCATATAATCGGGCGATATAATTGATCCTATAATTAAAGTATTTGTAATAGTATACATGTAGATGTAGGTAGGTACCTAATGTGTGTTGAATTAATTGGATGCATTTCCTGTATTCCAAATTTTTGTCTATACAGGGTGATCCAAAATTGGCGTCATTCCTTTTAAGGGGTAATAGGGGCTCACTTATAGAGAACAAAAAAATATTGAATTTTTTTTCGATAATTTCTAGAAGATGTTTACAGTTGAAAATTGAATTTCAACTTTGTTATTTGACATTTTCCCAAGCACCAAATTAATACCGAAGTAGGCATAGTAAGATACACACCACACAAGGATAGATTAAACCAATGGATTACTGAACACCGGTACAAATTGAGCGGAAGTTAATTACCGGAATACGAGAAGCTGCTCGATAAGAGTGGACAATAAGGAGATTACACACGCACTAACTTGTTTCGAGTTAATGACTCAAATGTATGTTTATTTGTAAACATAAATTTGAGGTTATGAGGACAATAATTGACATTTCGAAAAAATACGTTCTACAGTCAGCGAATCCTTTTGGATTTACCGTTTATCCTAGTCTATTTTATTGTCACTTTCTGTATAATTCCGTGGTTACCAGAGTTTTTAAAAATTGCGACAGGTATTTCCGTAATGTTAATTAGGCAGATTACCTTTAAAAACCGACGTTGTTGCCGTCTTTTTGATATCGTTTTTTGCAAATTTCTCTGTTTTTAATAACAATTAATTTTTTTAACTATGTTTTTCTGTACTCCTAAAACACCGTCAGACAACACCTCCAGAGGAATGACGCCAATTTTGAATCACCCTGTATAGTGAGAACAGGACCACAAACAGGCCCTAGTTCACTCAAATCCCTAATTCCATATTATTACTGCCTTTAAATTAATAATTATATCTTCCTCGGAAGCTTTCATCGATAGAATCCTATTTAACTTATCTAACTATATCCTTCTCTATCGGTTTTAACTCGAATTGCTTTCATTGTTTCTGATCAATTGAATCAATTTTTTTTCTCTCCTTCGTGAATGTGGAAAAAATATAAATATATATTAAATAAAAATAATGAAATCTTGTTCCACTATGGTGGTGTATAATTAATTCGATACATTTTAAAAACTTACTTAAATTAATTCGTGTCTTTCCATAATCAAGTGATTTACTTAGTTTCTTTGTTTCAACTTATAACGTTATCCAATATAGCATAAACACAGAATAATTCGGATTACTTAATTATATTAGTATCATCACTATTTCCTGCACCTGTCCATTAACTAACGTTTTTTTCAAGACGAGGGTTTTTCATACTCACAGGACATCACTTCACTTCCCCTTCACTTTCGCCTCGTAATATAAATTGAGTTGTCGTTTCTTTTCTCCCTTCATTCCCCAAATAAGACAGTTTCGGCATTCGGCACGAATTTAGAATTTGAATAGCCAATCGTATAAATATCGTATAAACGCTCGACAGTGAATCAGGTAGTAAGTAGGAAGATCAATTCTTATGTGAACAATAAGTCGTTGGAATGAATTAATACTAAAGTTTTTTGGCCATGTAATGTATAATTTTTTGGAAGTACAATTTATGCCATGTGTGTTCTGAATAACACATAATTGAAATATCTTCATCGGCCTGGGCTACAAGAGCGGATTCGATGGATTCAATTTTCGATTACTGTCTCCAATAAATCGGCTCGAATTTCAGCAATGCAACATTCAATATTTAAYTTCACCACGTCAATGGTTCGATCAACGACCTCAAATATACCCGCAAAAGAAATCTACTGGAGTTGAAATCATAACTTCTCGAAGGCCACTTAACAGCGGCATTTGTGGAGATTATTGATTCACCAAACTTTTCTTCCAATAATATGATAGTGGACATTTGCCAAATGTGGTGTGGCTCTATCTTGTTGAAATCCCAAGTTTTCCAAATCAACTACGTCCAATTGTGGTCATAAAAAATCTGTTAACATCGACCGATAACACTAGTAACTTTTTCTGGATCAAATCCTTTTCATGAATCTCATATGAATTATTTTCACACGAAAAACGACAATTTGGTTTATTCACAAAGTCATTCACATCTGGCCATAAGTAGCGATCTCAAATTATATATTGTAGCTAAAATGTGTAAGAAATTGTTATAAATTAAACAATAATTGATTGTACTCAAACTTAATTAGATTTAATAAAGCTTCGCGATTGTGGTACATTAAATATACCGTCAACGGACCACCGCCCAGCAATACCTGTTATGTTGTTTGTTGGCTTTATTAATAGATAATATTGTCATTTCCTTGTCAGTATTGATATTTCGTCTTGTAATAAAGCTTACAGTAATGGTTAGTAACAATTTTAATTTCCGAAGTGTTTTTTTAAGTAAAAAGTTACAATTTTGTAATCTGTGAAGCTCCGTCAGTAAGTTTTATGTATGCTTAGTTATAAGAGTTGTTTTCCAGTTAAATTGTTCCTGTAAGTCTGTATTCAAGTTTTTAATGGACAGAAATCAGCCTCAGCACGTGTTTCTTCTATTTTTAACAATTCGCGCCAATTAGAGGTCTGGAACTTTACTTTGTAGTGGCCATTGCATTCGTATGAAGTTAAGAATTTCGAGACGTAGCTTTTGGACTTTGAATATACAGAGTATCCCGTAAAATGATCAAAAGGATACTGTGATATTATTTGGATCCAAAGAAGACGATCTGATCTAACTTTTATTAACAAACAAGATTTGGCTCCTCTGCTATTGATGGTCAAAGTTCTTCAAAAAATTTATCTTTTTTTCAAATATTGGGAGAATGGTGCGATGTATTTTGGTGAAACTCGCTGTGAATTTGTTCTTATGTAAGACTCATATTTTGATGAAACAATTGAGTTTTGGACAAGTGGTGAATTCTTGAGTGTCGTGGTACAAAAACTACCAGAACTTTTTATTTAGTGGATGGAATCAACTCATTTATTTTTGGCTGATGCACTAATCATGCTCTTTGTAAAATCTTGTAGCATTCATAGTTTTTCCGCAAAAAAAATATGTCTGTTGTCTGTACAGACAGACATTAACTGCAAATATCGTGATACGGGGCATCAATTGTTTTTGCCGTGAGTTTCCCTAAAATAAATTGTACCATTTTCCAATTTTTCAAAAAAGATAATTTTTTTTGATGAAATTTGACCATCAATAGCTGAGGATACCAGACATTTTTTGTTAATAAAAGTTAGGTCAGATCGTCTTCTTTTGATGCAAAGAATATCTCACTATCCTTTAGATCATGTGCTTACGGTACACCCTCTGTAGGATGAACCAGGTTTTTCGTAACAAGCTTCCACAGTCGAAAGGAAATGTTTTTCTGTGAAGAAAAATGTATTTCCTAAATTGCTTTATTGATTTTATTCGAGATACAGAGATATGATGATTTTATGATATTTATTCGAGATACAGAGATACATATTTTAATGATAAATGTTTCTGAGAATAGAAATTTCTTCCTATTATGTATTTCAATAAATTAATCTTGCCTGTTTGCGATGTTTGCATGAACATTTTTTTCAGAAACTTCCCACACACAAAAAGTCGAACATGATAATATTCATAGACCGTGCGACAAATATCGATTTCTTAAAAAGCATCAGACAAAATGACTAAAATGAATATTAAACTTGAACGCCTTTTATAGAACCATGTATCAAAATCAATATAATTCCATGAATATTTTTGCTTTAAAAGCACATTTTTTAATTTTATCTTTTCTATAACACTGTCAAAGTTTATCACAAAAAACCTTGGAACATAATGCAAATTTTCAATGAAATCTGTTCAGATCGAGTCTATTTAATTAATTCAGATCGATGAAGGTCGCGAGTAGGCGAATATACGTGTCCGGAAATTAGTCTGCAATATATGAATTGCATATTCCTACCAAAACCAGGAAATAGTTTTCTTGTTAAAACCCCTTTATGTTTTAATAAAATGTTCTAGTCATATTTTGTTGGAATTCACTCTTATGAACGGCGTGAGCACAAAATTTTTTAAAATAAAATAGCCAATAATGGATTAAAATAGAATATATTTTTTTAAGCTCCTGCTTAATTTGTCGAGTCTGTCGAGTGCCTACCGTATTTAAATCATTAAATTAAAAATTGTTTACTAAAAAACTAAATTTAACTAAAAATAAAAAGTAGCCTTTTAATACACCCTGTAGATTAGAAACGTGTTCGAAAGTTGGAAAATTTTTGTATTATTATTTTTTTACATAAAACTGTTTGCTGTGAGGATATACTTAAGTTCGCATTCAATGTGTTGTATGAATTATTCTGTTATCTTTCAAATATCCAGCAAAAATGGCATTCATGGTAAAAACTTCTCAAAATACTGGCTCCAACATGAGGATTCATTCACACAGTCTTTAAATACATATATAGACAATTTATGAAACGTTGCTATGTAGAAAATATACAACTACTTTCAGCTGCCCAACTAGGTAAGAGTTTGAACGGTTATTTTTAGTACTTTGTATAAGCAAAACCAAGCATTTGTTGACCGATCCAGACGATTTCAAACTTGCGGAATGTTAATGCAAAAAGATATTTTAAAGCAAGTTAACATTCTAATTATCGCATCGCATAAGCATCGCTATTCCGAATATATTATTTTATACAACCAGACCAAGTAAAGTTAATATCGGTCATTATTTACACCGCTTCTCCGCTTCCTGTAGATAATAATAATAATAATGTAAGCCTTAAAAATTGTTTAAATTATTTCAATAGCTGCACAAACCCAGAAAAGCTAAGATAAAGCTAAAGCTTAACAAAATTGAATTACTTAAATTGAATTTAACTTGTAATTTTATTTTAGACTTTGAAACTACGAAGATAGTCAATTTTGTGGAATAACCTACAGTGTGAAATATAATATAAATTTTAGTCTCAAAGTTTCAGTCCGGAGATCTGGATTTCTTGTTCAATAAAAATCCACGTTTTGCACATATGAAAATGTAATTTTTAAACGATTCCGTAAACATAAGTTTGCAGTTGTTATTTTGGTTTCAGATGCAAGTAAACGATCGTCTACCAGTAACGGTCTAAAACATCTCACGAAATGGTGGAAAACATCACGTAAGACTGTTATGCCCCCTTGCCTTCTGCAAAGCACACCCTACAAAGGGCTTTTTATTCTCGTTCTTCTTTTTGTGGCTCTAGAGTACATTTTCAATACCGTGTCTGAGACAAGAACTGATATTTTTAATTCTTCCACGTAAGTACTTTGCTTGCCGATTCAATCAATCTTTGACCAAGACTTGGTTTTCAGAAAAGTCGAGTTTCTGGAGAAATCTGCAATTCATTATGGTCCCCTGTTGAAAACTCTTTTATTTAAAGCATACTCAAAAAATATGTCTTGTATTCAACAAGCCCGTCGATTGAACTCGCAAGCTCACTTGAAAGCTGGCAATTTTGCAGTTAGTATTTCCAATTTGGATTACGTTGTTACCATCCCTCCATTCTTGATTTGGAACATCACAGAAATATATACAAATAATTATAGTGTAGAATCACCAGCTTCCACATTTAGCAACAAGGTGAACATTGATAATGGAACGTCGGAGCTAGAAAGAAGTTCTCAAGATGGAACTTTGTGTCCTGATGTTTCACAAAATCTCTGTAAGTATATTTGTATATTTATTTCATTTCAATTGACCAGAAATGCACAACGAAGAAGACTAACTTTAAAATGAAAACTTGTTTCATAAGTCACTTTATAACAAACTACCTCAGTTTCACTATTAATGTTATCTAATGGCACTGTTTCATAGTAAAATAAAGATTTCGGAAGAAAATGTGCAAAATTGATAGAAAAATTTGGATGTAGCCCTTATTCAATTAATACTTAAAACGGAATTTCCGACAAAACTTTAGTAATTCAGTTGTGGAATTTGTCTGCAATTGTCACGTTTGTCAATCTGTTTGGCAGTGTGAATGCCACTGCGATTTTTCGTAAAGATTTAGTAAAAAATTAGCTTTGTAATAAAACATTTACGTAAATTTGGATATGTGCTACACTATTAAAATAGATTAAACGGCGTAGTGAAGATTGAAAGATCATTTTTAAGTCAATACATTCTAGAAATACATTCAAATTATTTCAAAACGTTTTTTGCATATTGTCCTCATAAGCCCTACTTTCCCTTAAAGAGAATGACATGTTAGACAATTTGATAATTAAATTGTACTATTTGGTTAATTTTTAGATGGTAGAGTTCAAATACAAACATATCCAGTGCCTTCTGTACAGACGTTAGAATCTAGATTTTCATGGCTTCAGCCCGGGGGACACTGGGCCCCTTCTAATTGTACCGTAGAGAAGAAGGTGGCTATTATTATACCGTTTCGATCCAGAGGAGAGCATTTACTTCTGTTCTTACAGCACATGCATCCGTTCTTGAAGAAACAGCAACTGGACTATACTATATTTGTGGTGGAACAAGACGGAGAAGGACCATTTAATAGGTTAGCAGATCAATACGTATTACTTGATTATTAATTAATTAATATTAGATGCACATATTCCTGGCATTTACGCATACACTGCAAAGGACGAAAAAAGTTCAGAGTGTAGGTACAAAGCTGAAGCGGAAAACTTTGTTTTGATGTTCTGACTGTAAAAGCAAGCAAGTTTAAAATTACAATTTTGCTACATTACATTTTTGCTGTTGCTTAAATTTTCAGTCGTCTGAATATTCGCGGTATCAGCTATAATTTATCCCAAATATTGCGGAATCAAGCTCGTTTTTCCTCCTATAAGGGATATAGAATAATAATTTTTTAGAGCGATGTTAATGAATATCGGCTACATTGAAGGCTTGAAGGCAAGAACGTATGACTGCTTTATTTTTCATGACGTTGATCTATTACCTGAAGATGATCGAAACCTATATACATGCCCTGAACAACCCAGACATATGAGCGTGGCCGTCGATATGTTCAACTATAGGTACTGATCTCAGATCGACGAAAACCTAGTTAATTACATTTGTCTTTAATATTTTTAGATTGCCTTATCCTGCAATATTTGGAGGCGTCTCAGCTATTAGCAGAGCACATTTCAAGCTGCTCAATGGATTTTCGAATTCTTTTTGGGGCTGGGGTGGCGAGGATGATGATATGTCAAACCGAATAAGGCACCATCAGCTTTACATATCCAGATATCCAATTACAATTGCTAGATATACCATGTTGACGCATAAGAAGGATTTACCGAATCCGCACAGGTATTACATTTTAGTCCCAACACTTTTTTCAAACTTAGAATTTTAAGCAAAAGGTGGTATAAAAAAGTCAAGTGAGGCAGACTTAATAACTTAAAATAAACTTATAAACTTAATAACTTATAAAAATTATTAAGAGGTGCCAAATTTGAATATTTCAAACTGAATCCAACAAAAGAGTAACAGAACGCTACTAACGTTGTGTGCTGGGTAGGTATCACGTAAAAAAGACGTCACAATGGAGGTAACCAATTTCATGCCAGTTCAAAGACGTGATTATCACGGCATTATGTCACAGTGGAATGACGTCCATCAATGGCGTACACGGACGTCAAAAAACATTCAAAATGTCACTTAATTTCTGTGTTTTGCTTTGACTGAAATCGTTTTTTCGCAAAAATGTATCTTATGCTAAAAACAATAAATTGTAGGCATCAGAATGGATTGGATTTGATCAGATTAAATGAAATGAAATAATATAAACATTTTAATAAGCACATTGTTATCCCATACATTGGACAACAGTTGTTTCGAAGAGTAAACACCAATTTAAATTAATAACAAGTACCTACTTAAAAATAGTGAAAAAAAGAACTTAATAAAAACCCTTGAGCAGAAAATGTGCGTTCTAAAAATATGTTTTATTTATACTTCCAAGATTGCGCTTTGCTGCAGACTTAACAGCGAATGCGAATAGGCAGTTTACTCAAATGAGAATAGGAAATTAATAGACCATGCATAGATAGTGTGTATGCTTGTGCTGATAAGTTCATAAGTTTGATAAACGCCCAATGTGTAATGTATTTAATAAATATTTGCATTTTAAAGAGTTTGGATGGTTTTATTTTGTTCAATATTCCTCCCCAATTCATTAATTTAACCGTAAAAGATAGACTTTTAGGGCGAGACAAGATACACGAATACAACTTTGAATGTTTCACTGTGACATATTTCCGGGATAATCACGTCAACATGACGTGATGAAATTGGTGACTGCTGTACAATATTACGTGTTTTTCACGTGATTATTGCGGTGACTGTCAGCTAGATGCTGGCACCGAAATTATTCATTTTGCTAATATTTAAACCATCTAATGCTATTAAATGTTTTATTTTGAGATAAGATTACATTGAAAATTATGTTTTGGTTCAGATAATATTTTTATTTTATTTTAGTTTTTTTTTTCAATATTGTCCTTTTTTATTTTTGTTTTAAGCAAGGTACAAAAATTGTAATTTGTATTAATAACAAGTGCTTCTTGCTAAAAGCAAAATTTAAATAAGACATTTTAAAAAGTTCAAATAAGCGTTGTTGTTTAATAGTACTAATATCCTATAACTTCCTCATTCCCAATAGAAAAAAGGTAAAAACTGACATATTAACGTTCTGCAGAACATTTCATTGAGCAAGTCAGTAAAATTCACTGTCCTTTTATAATAAGTATGGTGTATAAATAATATATACATATGCAAAATAATTATGTAATCTACATGTACTTACGTATCATTTTACCACAGGGTTTGTCCCACTCTGACACAATCTGTTAACAGTCTGAAATTCTAAAAGTATCTTTGGCGTCGATGATGCAACACACGCGTCTTCGTATCGGGGTATTCTGGTCCCACAAATAAATGCTGGTTTTGAGTATTTGTTAAACGTTTTTGAATAGGAATAAAAATGTATGTAAAACATTGCTCAATGTGATTTTGACAAGAATATGTGATTGATTTTAGATACGACGTGTTAAGAAAAGGACAACAGCTGTTCGACACAGATGGATTGAACAGTTTAAAGTACCAACTTTTGATGAGAAAAGAAAAACTATTGTACACTTGGATATTAGTAAAACTAAGTTCGCAGCATCGAAGATAATGGTTATTTTACGTATTATTAGTGACAAATGTTGAAACATTTAGGTAACTTGAACAAGCGTCTGATTAGCTTGATACATCTTTAGGCGGAAATGTTCTGAACTAGACAACTTATTGCACATAAGCTAATAATACTTAATGCTGATACCAAATATGTTTGTCCATGATACAAAAGTTAATACAATTTGTAATTTGCTGATAACTAGCAATTTTTTATTAAATAAACAAAGTATCTCTGAATAGTTTCAGGTTTTATTACTTGTCAACGCTGTTTTGTTTTCCCATCAATTCCCCTGCGTTATTTTGTTGGAATAATAATTCCAACCTTTATAACTCCGGTTAAATTATCGTGGACTTAATCTAAAGAGGCAACCGTCATCATTAGTTTGAAATTGTTACTGTTCAGTGGTCATCTTTTATATAATGAACAAAAAAGAGAAATATTCACCTTGTAAGATACAATTAAATAACTTACAACGTAATACGCTGTGGGCGAATTTCGAAACGATCTTATTTCTTGTTTATAACTTAAGTGATTTAAATTCAATTCAATTCAATGGATATTAGGTATGCAGATTATATCAAATATTTTTTTAGAGGGCTGAATCTTGCTATTAACCGAATAGCAAGTAATTATTTAGCCTGTGACTCAATAACAATTATATTCTAATGAAACTAATATAAAAAAGTATGCGCAGTCCACAGGGTAATTTACGTATATTTTTCGAACTTCGAACAACAGAAATCGAAAGAACCAGTCAAAATAATGTTCCTACATGATCAAATATTTCCTAAATCGGATCACTTCGGAGATTCAGGACGTTGAAATAAAAATATGTTTCCCGATTTTGACATAAAAAGTTTCATAATGATTCAGTTTTTGTTGTTGAAGTTTTAAATCAAAAGAAGAGAGGACTAGAACACAAAATAGAATCGTAAAATTGCTGTGTGGTTAAAACTTTAGGAGAATATGTAATGCCATTAGAAGTATCTGTGTTTCGAATTTTACCTCAATCGAATAAGTAGTTCAAAATTTATGCGAAAAAATCTTATTACAACGCGCTCTATCTCCGAAAGCATGCGATTGATTGAAAAATCTCGATCATGTAGGAATGTCATTCGAACCCTGTTCTATGGATTCCTTAAGTTATCAAGATTAGAGCTGAATCACCCGGTATATTTTTTTCGTTGTGTGCTCGGAACACCAGGATGTTTAAACAAAATATGTAATCAAAGTAGAAACTCTAAAGTCAGAGCAACCAAACTTTTCATTTCAATTATTCGTTTCTATCGTAAGCTCTGAAAATGAATTAACTTGGTGAATTTGAGAACAGATGAAGAAAGAATCTGATCATTTTCCACAGCAAATTCAAAAAGTTACGTTTAATTACGAATTAAGTAAATTAATTTAATTAAAAATTAAAACATTTACATTTAATTCCTTCAAAAATATGATAGTTTCAGGACGCATAACAAACTACAGGGAAATATTAAAACATAATTACATTCTTCTAACTAAAAAAACTCCCACTATGTAAATATGTATAATAAGTTACGGTAAACACGATTATAATTTGAAAATATACATAATTTTACTGTACAGAAGAATATACGACCGTAAAGAGTGTTATTCTATCAATATAGGTATAACTTACGTTTCACCAGTTTGTTTTGTAATTTTGCGATCAACTTCCTCAAAGACTTTTTCAGTTACAATATCTGACTGATCTAAAACCTGCTCAACTGCTACTACTTCAGGTATGTAAAATTGTAACATATTCTGAACACCATTTTTCAATGTCACTACAGAACTAGGGCAACTCGAACAAGATCCTTGCATTTTCAGTTTAACTATACCATCCTCATAACCCATAAAAATAATATCACCTACAAACATATTTAATTTGAATTCGAAATCTCATTTTGAAGTTTAAAATTATCAGTATGCACGTGTTATCACTTCTGTGGAAACTTACCCCCGTCTTCTTGAACTGTTGGGCGAATTCTTGTATCAAGAAGTTCTTTTATCATTTGGACAGTTTCGTCGTCATCTTCATTAATATCTATAATATAAACAAAGTGCTTAGAGTCATAGAACGGTAAAAATGTTATTAAATTCTCCAATTTGAATTATTTCGCTTAATTTTACAATTTTTTTTAATAAAAAAAAAACAGAAAATAAAGAATGCAGAAACGCATTGTAGCAGAGATTTCAACGGAATAAGTCAGCTTCTGAAAACATACATATATTTCCATAGAGCTTGTGGTAATGAAACATATTTCAAACGAAGCACTTCGAATATTTTTGAAAATTTAAATATTTCAGTTCAACTAAAACTTTGCAAAAATATAAATTTCTTTACTTTTGGTTAAGTCCTTGAAAAACACGGTATACAGGCGATTTATTGAGCATGGACAACTTATAATCAAACCATGTACTATTAACTATACTTACGAGTATCAGAATTTGGTTTTGCCTCACTAAGTACCGGTAAATTACTAGCAAAAAAATCCATAACAGTCGCGAAGATTTCTGGTTTGATAATTTTCCATTCCACTTCTTCATCAGTCTTTGTAATCGTAATAAAATCAGGTCCTAAGAAGACTCCTTTTACACCTTCAATGCGAAACAATAACTTCGCTAAAGGTGAGCAGAAAGCATCTTGAGGTTTGGGAAAATCAATTGTTTGTCCTGGTTCCAGTACTTTTGTACCCGGCAAAAATTTAAGACTGTTTGGATTTGGAGTGTCTTGCGTTTGTATGAACATTGATAATGCATTTGTTGTTGTCAAGTATCTAAACTGTTTCGGTGCCGTTGTTAGTTTAAAATGTAATGGTAAGCTATAAAAAAAAAGTTAGAATTAAAGACGTATAATGGTCCATTATTATCATTCACTCACTTTTGGAAAACCTTACAGAACGTTGAGGCGGTTTTCGCACAACTGTGAGTGGAACTTAATACACTACGAAACATGGTAGTTTCTTATTTTGTTAAAGTAAGGAACATTAAATAATTAACAATCGTCAATAACAAAAGCGGTTATGTTTGAAAATAGTCTTCTCTAGCAGAGACAAGACTTGTCTCTGTTCTCTAGTCTGGTTTCCGAATCTTTTCTATATACAGGGTGACTCGGTTGGAAATTTATTAAGTACAGCAAAAATAGTAAAAATAGTAATGTTGCAGGTATAATGTGTCATTTTCTCATTAACATTCCGTAAATACATATAGTTTTGGCGTAAATAAACTTCTTTGCTTAAAGTTTTGCGAAAAAGTGAATCAAAAAGGTAAATGTCTAAATGTCAAAGTAGACATAATATATTTACAAATGAAATTAAATGTATTTGCGACAAACAGAAAGTATATTTAAAGATATGAAGTAATTTATTAATAAATACTTGTAGTATAGGATATCAATACATATAAGGTAATTCAATTTTCAGTCCGAAAAATTAGAGTTTATAAAATTGACAGAAATAAAAAGAAAAATGTAGACATATAAACGGATGTCTACAAAAGCGTCGTTTGTGACATACAGGATGTTGAAATTAGAAATTCTATTTTCCTTTCCTTTTCTGCTACAACTGTCCAGCTTTATAATATACATATTTGCCCCAAATTTGAAAAATAGCCGGTTACATGGATTAGTATTAATTGCTTGTTTCGCAAATTCCAAACTGAACAAGGAAATACAAAGATTAAAATATTTATTTAATGTAAGTAAAGTTTCAACATATAATTGGAGGGTGGTGAAAGTAGCCAATGCAACATGGCCATAAAAAATAACCCTGTACATTCTTCTATTCGCTCGAAATTTAAGATAATATCGCAAACACTGGCAGAGTTAAAACAGAAAAGAAAAATTTTATTTTATTATTTGGTATCTCGATTACGAAGCGTTAGCGGACATATTTTTATACAGGGTGATTCAAATGAAGGCAATTTTGAATCACTCTGTATACACTTTTCTACTTATTTTTGTGAATTCTATCCAAAACTATCTTGTATTAAACCGATTAAAAATTGAATGACTCTGTTTAATTCAATACTTTTCAACTTCCAAGCTTTGATGAGGTGGTATTGGCAAGGGGGTAAGGGACTAATAAACGGATTTAGTATTGAATGAACAATTTATTTGCAAAATTAAACTACAAACTGATTATGGTCTAAAGTATTATCATTATTTTTACATTTTTTTATAGTATGTACATGCATTTAAACCAGACTGATGCATCAAGATGTTCCGTTACCAGTGAAATAGTTGCGTATACATACTTCTACATTACATTGATTTTTTAGTCCTGAATGGCTTCACACACCCTTTCTCCACTTTTCCGCTGTAGTAAATTCAGTCATAGGTTTTCCACTTATACCACACGTGCCTATACCAACTCTGCCAGTCACACTCTCTGGTGAAGCAAAAATGCTTTTGTTTGTCAATCCAGTTTTCTTGGTTTTTATGGCCTTATTAGCAAAATTCAGCCATTTCTTCTTTTCTTGTTCTCTTTCTTCTTCCAGCTCCTTGAATCTCTGCTGCTTTTTCAGTTTCTTCTTTTTCAGGTATTCTTTATTTACTTTGCCTTTTTTCAGTTTCTCTGCTTCCGATAGAGTACGTTTCTGTCCTGTAAACTCTTTCAGTTCCGCCAATGTTGTTACACCTCTGTTTTTGTAGGCCTCAAAGGTTACATTCACTTGCCCGTTGGAATGGATGGCATCAATTTTCGCTTCATAATATTGACCATTCTCGTTCCATTTGGCCATACACGTATCATTGACTCTCCATATCTTCTTTGTTTTATTCCTAGCCACAAACTCTTCAACAGCAAGCAATGACTTTGTAATTTCATCTTCTTCGTCGACTATTCCTACAGGCTCGGTGTACTCAGGTAAATTTGCGGCCTCTTCTGCTTTATTCTTCAAATCTAGAGTCAAATCTATTACCTCTTCTAAATCGATTTTCAGCTTCTTCAATTCTTCGTTATTTGCATCGGTTAACAACGCAGCTTCGACTTGCTGCAGCTGAAGCTGGTAGTTCTGCAATTCGTCACTCATTTTGTTGAGCACAAGGTTAAATAGAGATTAGACAATTAATTACCTTGGACCACTGGCTAGTGTAGTTTTGGAATTTGATTAATTATGTTGCAATAATTTTGGGTGAAAATGTTCGAATTCAGAAATCGTCAACAAATGCATGTAAAAATTGTGAGCATAGAACAAATTGTGTTAGTGAAAAACTGACTGGAATTGTCAATACTGACTTGACATCTTTCATTCGATGTTTGACTTTTCACTGATGCGGGATGACCAACGCAAGCCTCAAACAAGCGATTATGGCGTCATAAAATTGGGCGAGTTTTCCCAACTTCAGTATATCTGTATATGCATAATTACTATTTGCATATGATATATCCTGGGTTTAAAGTTAATAGTGATCAAGTTCAAAATTGGAAAGTGGCCAAGTCCACAATGGAAAATAATTTACACGATAATCAATCTCCCGAGATTGTACCATCTTTAGACAAGGAAGGAGGGTCTCTTTCTTTGTCTAAAGTGTCACCAGTATTATTAGGTTAAATTCACTTAATTTCGAAACGCTGAAAGAGAACATGCATTTCTGTCACTGTCTGATGCATTTGTTCATTTTCAGGTGATTTGCACTAACGTCAACATGGTAAATGTTATGAAAGGAGTTCTTGTTAAATGGTAAGTGAATGATATTAAGAAGTTAAGAAAACAATACCAATTTTACAGGATGGCTCTTTAAAATATTGCAATTGTTTTAAGAAATGAAAAAAAAACAACATTATTTACTAACATACTCACACCTTCCTATAATTTGCATGCTCAAACCAACTCTCAAACCATGCTCAAATCTCTTTTTTGTAGGCCTCTATTATAATAAACAAAGTACTTCGACTTGTGAGGATCGTCTCGTTCTTGTTTTGCATTGTCTTGTACTTACTGTGCTCCTGTGTTGTATGTATTTCGTATTTTGTAAAAAAAACAGTAGAACTCACTTATAATTACTTACTTGAATTAAGAAGAAGCGGTAGAAAAGATTGCCTGAACAATCATTTTCATTGAAATGAACTTTTCATAGGTTTAAACATGTGGTGCTTTTAGAAATTACAAATTCTTCCCTCTTCTATATTTTGCTCTATTGTGGCCACTACTTAGAGATTTTAAATGGAAAAGTAATTAATTTTTTAATGCTCTTTTAAACGTTTAAATCGGTTGTTATCCCAATATAACATAAGTATAGAACAAAAATATCAAAATGAAATAAAATGCAAACCACTAACCCAAATTACCTCAAAGTTAAATTTAAAAACTTTGCTTATTTACTGTAATATCGGTTTTTTATTTTTATTTTTTGTATTTAAAGTTTGTGCAATGAGCCCGACCATCATCCAATTGTCATCAAAAGTGTCTAAAAAATCTTTAATAGTCATCTTCACCCAATTATTCTTCAACTAACAGAAAGGACTTAAAAACACCGATGTCGGGCATATTTTGGATTCTGTGATTTCCTAAGATAAATGTTTGTGTCAAAATGTTTCTGGATTGACTGGTGTTCGAGTTATTATCATTCCGCAAAACTCATCGCGAAATCTTGCATACTCACCAAGAATAGTTTGCATGGCAATATCTACTCGCATAACGGAGAAATTTATGTTACTGTTAAAACTCGTTAAAACGTCGAATAATATTTATAATTATAAGCCGCGAAAACTCTCTTTCATTTAGAATTTTCGAACACGAAAAACTCTTCATTTGTAGTACTCATATGTTCCAAAACTTGCGGATTCACAAAGGTGTCACGAAATCAACCGAAGTAAAATAAGAGTTAAATTGTGCTAGCGTAAAGAATGCACAAATAACGGCAGGCACAAATCTTATTAGTGGCACGCCTTACCGGAAATCAAGTGCGCATGTACAGATGTCAATTTAACGGCGGCACTATTAGTGGCATAGTTGCACTGTGTGTTCCATATGACTCTATTGAAAATTGAAGTTAACTGTTATTAAGAGAATTAGTTTTTTTTCTAATATTTGATCAAATGTTATAGTTTATGTTTATGTTTTTTTGAAATACAATGAGCATCAAGTTTATTTTAAAAATTTACAAAATAAAAAAATTAATATTTCAAACTTAACATATCCTAATGTTTAACGTAGAAGGATATGTTATAAACTCTTAACATATATTTAACAATCCTTTCTATATTTAAATTTTGAGCGCGTTCTCATTCTCTGCGCTTAAATAATTAAATATTAGGCCGTTAAGGAGAAATTGTTGTTGAAATAAATATTTTAATGCGTCTGATATATTTTAAACAACACCTAATGACAATTAACGCCATAATAAAATTTGAAAGTGCAAGTGCAAAACTCGCATGAGTTTTGAGTTTTTAAATACAGTATTTTTCAACAAAAGTTGAGTTTTTTTACAAAAAAGTGTTGGACTGAAATGTCTGCCACCGAGAATCTTTGTCCGACGCCAGTCTATTACGTAACTGTGCATCTTGAGTCGACTCGACTAAACCGATAATTAATACCACGGAACCAGAAGTAAATTTTAATTTCTTGTGCCAGAGAATACCACGCTGAACGCTTTTTTAATCTCTATAGTTACAAAAGTTAAGAAGTGAACTTCAATATAATGCCAATGCCAAACCATGTGTGTTTTACATAACTTTATCGTTTAGTATTTAATAAATGTAATCATTTTATTCCAGTGATCCTGCTATGAAACAATTTTTACTACATTTGGATGAAACTCTGAAGCTTGGAAGAAAATTCATTATTCAAGAGCTGGATGAACATCACCTTTTTATTTCGGCGGACATATTGGTTACGTTGCAAGCAAAAATCGATGATTTGATGGATCAGATTAGTTTTCCTTTGGCAGAGAAAGGAAACTAGTTCAGCACGTTTTCAAAGCTAGTTTTTCACTATTTGTATTAGTTTATCGATCAACGTTATTAAAACTTAAGAAAATAAAAAACAATCATGACTCTACCAAAGACGGTACCGCGAGGATCCAATCGCATCAAAGAGAACGACAAAAGAAGGATCATCGATGAAACGCAGAGAAAAAGAAGGCAGAGGAAAGTTATGGAAATGCTGGAGTCAGATAATTATCACGATGATCCACATGCTGATTTGGTTATGAGTAAAAAGGCGCCAAAATTTGAAGACAGTTTAGAACAAAGAAATGTTAGAACGAAGAAGAAGGAAAGGACCGGTTAGTATATAATTATTTCTTGACAATAAATATATATAAAAATAACATTTCGACTTCAGTTGACTACTACCAGTTCAAGTATCGGAAAAATTTTCACCAACTTGTGGATGAAGACCGAGCTGAATCAGAAGCAAAACAAAGACCATCCTACATGGACATTCAGGCTGAGGAATCCCAAATACCACCAAGACATTTTTGTGCTGTTTGTGGATTTTTAGGACAATACAGTTGTTTATCTTGTGGAACCCGATATTGTAGTCTTCGCTGTATGGAAACCCATATGGATACAAGGTGTTTAAAGTGGGCCGCGTAAATGCAGTGCTTTTCTATACTGTAATTTTTTAATAATTCACTAAATAAACGATATTTTTCTTGTTGCATACATTTAAAATGAGGAACTAACTCAATGAAAAAAACGTCCAAAATTATGATACGAATAAAATTTTATTATAATTTTGTTATTTTATTACTGATTAGTTCTACTTCATACAAAAAGTGTATCTATCATGCTTGTATACAAGTAGGCATGACTTCAACTTACACGTTAAAACAATCTTGATGTTTTGCCTTAAACCAAAGTGCTTTAAAAATTTGTAGAAATTGAGAGGAAACCCGACATGTTAAACATCGGTTTGTTGCACAAGTATTAATAAGTTTTTCTATTTAAGAATAATAATGTTTTTTATTATTTTGCAAAATTTTTTTAATATACGAGTTTACTGCAAGGTAATTTCAGCCGGTGAACCAAAATTCACTGAGTTACCCAGGCTTATCTACGTGTTCTTTTCTTCTGCTTTGAGATAAGCCTGGGTAACTCTGTGGTGAATTTTGGTTCACCGGCTGAGATTTTTTTGCAGTAAACTCGTATATTTAAAAAATATAGTAAAATAATAAAAAACATTATTATTGTTAACTCGAAAAACTCGAGCGAAAGAAGTTCGGGACTGCACTTTGTCCGGAAAACGCTGAGCGTAAAAATTGACAGCATTACTAATACGCCTGCCAGATTCTCCATAAGCAAAAACCATTTGAATTTGCTCTTGTACAGTCATGTGATCCATGCGGATGAAGTATTAATACCAAAATAAATCTAACTGATTAAATTAGGGGTTTCTTCCAGTTATTTCTTTTTTTCATAAATCTGTGTTATTCATACATTATGAATACATTTATTTATGTATCCCTAGCAACGACATTTTTTTAAGCAGATTTTACCAAACATTTCGGTTGCGACAGCGACAGGAAAATTAATGAAATTTAGTTGATTAAAGCGCCATCTAAGGTGAATCAAAAAAATGTTTTAAACAAATTTTACGTGTTTTTAGCCGCATAATCTGAATCTGCAATAAAAAGTGGGGGTGCCATTTAAAAAATCAAAGTTACCTCTCTTCTGTATTCTCTCTCTCTTCTACAGAATATCCCGGTATATTCTGTAGAAGTAAAAGGTTGCCAAGCTGCAGCATATTAGAGAAGTATGTGGCAAACATGCAGCAAATGAATAAATAAGTAAACCTGATCTACGAATGCTGAAAATGTGATCTACATTTAAAGTAGTGGGGATATCGTTTGCGTAAATATTCTCTAGTAAGAGATTTTAAGGTTTTGTTACATTCTTATATTTATCTTAGTTGTTTATCAATCTTGGAAGCTTGGATTGTATACCGTGAATAGTGAATCGACGGGTTTGTTCGATAATTGCTGTTGGTAGTGGATGCTAAATTATTTCAATCGTCGTAAAATACCAGTCAGCTGCAGATTATTGCAAAATGTGGAGCCAATAAACCAAAATTCTTGATGTGCATATAAATATTGGGTATTTAATGGAGGTTGAAAAAAAATATGGGAACGAGGTTGGTGGCATGGTTAAATTCTTATACCTAATATAGAATGAACTTTCTTAACAGGTAGAGCCAAAACCATTAACGGCATTGGACTCTGCATTGAATGAGTTAGGAATGCTGGCTGCAAGTAGTAATTCAAGAAAAGAATATGTGACTGAGATTAAGACTCAAAACTATTTAAATATGCTTACTATTAACACAAGATATGTCAGCAATGTGGCCTTTGGATTTCGGGTGAGACCAAGTGCTCCACATGTACGGTATAAACCATATCAGTTGCCCCTGAAGGAGAGACATAGGTATGTTAAAATTCTCGTAAAAACATCCACGTGAAGTTGATATTTTCCAGAACAAAGTCAGAGAATAACGATGTAGATGGTACATCAACTTTAGCACAAAGAATTGTAGAAGACTGCATTTCAGAATCCATAGTTGAAATTGCACAATTAAAAAAGGCCAAGTCCCTTGAAAGTCTTGTCGCAGATGGAAATGAAAATATAGACTTGAAATCTATCCGTTATTCAAGCCATAGTGATCTAGAATTGGTGTCAGACGGGGTTCAAAATCTAAAAGTCGGAGAATAAAATTGCTTATTTAAGTGTAGAGGCATCACTAACAAATGTATTTCTTAACTGTGACCCAAAAGTTTTAGTCTGATTATAACTTGAGCTTCGATAATTCTGTTAAATGTTGTAGTCACATGTAAAATAACATTGTCGGTATTTAAGCTGAATTTTGTGTACACCAATCAACGTTTTAGTCAAATAAACTCACATGAAATTCAGTTCGTTTATGAATCTACTTAAATGTATACCGTAGATATGTATGGCTTCTTTTAGATTTTGAATTGAATTCCATAACAGCACTGTTTTCAACCATTTTTGTGAGTTTATTAATGGCAATATATCGAAAAGTTGTTTAAGTAACAAAACTGGTGATTAACACGTGTACCGTGGTAAGAAACATGCACTGATTCAGAATTGACAGCGTCTCTTTGGGGGAACCGTAGAAGACCTTTATGGGAGTTACCAGAAAATATTTCATAGAAAGTTCTACTTATTGCTAAAAACTAAATCCTAATTAAGCAGCACTAAAACTTGGGTACTCGAATGGGAAAACCTTCTCATTATCAGTACATATACAAAAGTAACAGGTTTGCACACTATTTACAGTAACAAGTGAGTTTAGATTAAGCTACTCAATAGGGTGATGAGGAATGATCACTTACAATGTTAGACGTTAATATATTTTCCATCAGATTCAGCGGGGATTCATGCTATGAACTAGGGCTCGGAATTTTAAAAAATCTGAAATTCGAATATTCGTTTAGTGGTTTATTCGAATAGTAAAATTATTCGAATACTCGAATATCTAACGAATATTCCAGTATTCGACGCGAATCGCCAGAACACAGAGACGTAATTTTATATTTATTTGCAGGAGTAAATATGATTATTTTCATTTGCTTGCAAATATATGGGCATTTGTTTAAATGCTTGTAAAATATGAATCATTTATTTTATAAAAGTATACAAAGTGCATGTAAAGATATTTGCACCATGTGAGTTTGATAATGTTGGTGTATTCGAGTTATGACCACATAATTATTCGCTTTTTGAATATTCGAATACTCGAATTATTCGAGTTTGATTCCGAGCCGTACTATAAACACTTATACTTATTACTTGTCACTATATTTAATATATAGATTTACTGGCACTTATTCTACAGTTTGTCCCATGTTCTTCAGAAACTGTGTAGAAAAAATTCTTGTCTCGTGTGGAATTTTCCAAACTACAGGGTGTCCCCCGAATATGGGCTGCCATACGTAACTCGAAAAAAACACTAACCATAGTTTCGAAAATTTCGGGTCTAGCCAAAAGGGCTTTACTCTATATCCCTAATTTAAGAAAAACATGTACTCTTTTCTTTAAATATTTTAGACGTAAGTATAGAGCAGACCCGCTTTATCGTAAACTGCAATTTTAGGAATTATTGTTAGCTGCATTTTTTGAACTACGGAAATTACCTACTATACGGTTCCATATTCGTGGGGCACCCTGTTTAAATGTATTATATAATACTTTTAAAATTTTAATTTACTTTGTTTCACTTTCATGGTCGCGCAAAAATTCAATTTTTTATAGTCGTTATCCTCGAGCACAGTGATTATCAACCTTTTTTTGACGGCACACAAAAAAAAAGGTAAGTTTAAATTTGTTTACTCACCTATAATAAATTGTTTAAAATTATTCATAATTATAATTTTGACTGACAATAGATGGAGCAGTGGATTAAGAGATGAATTACCAGTTAATACTCAATAAGAATACTTTTACAGAAAAATCCGAGATTAATATTATTGATGACACAATTTTTTTAAATTAAATATTATTTACAAAGATTTAAATATTTCCGTTAATAAATAATGTATACAATTAAAAAAATTATGTTATTTTATAATTACTTTTTTAATTAAAACTTTATTCGTCATAAACAAAGCATTATAATTTTTACTATACAGGGTGATTTCCGTAGATCGTGCATTAGAAGTGTTCCAACTTACAGTCGTTTTAGAAACTTAAAATTTTGTTTCCGGTCATAACTCGTCGTGCCGGAACCATGTAAAATTGATTTAGCCGTCCAGCTATACAGGGTGTACGAAAAGTATAACCTAACTTTCTTATTTTCAATGCAAACCTCGATTTTTTTAGCACGGTTGGGTTGGCCTTCGAATTGCGAACTTGAAAAACCCCAGTTTTATTAAAAACTCTTATAGTTTTTGATATAGGACAATTAAAAAAAAATCCGCGACACATACGGTTTCAGAACAAGCTTTATCTAAGGGACGGTTCTAAATTCAAAACCCAAATGGTAGTTAGTTAGCTGCAAGCCCAAGATAACTCCCTATATGAGTTAAAGGTACCAATTTTGTAAAATATGGGTGCATGCAGCCTACAAACATTGATATAAAAAGTGTCAAAAACAAGTTTTTTTAAATGGCACGTACAAACTTTTTTGGTCCGGTTTGAAAAATTTCTTAGATTACAAATCTGGTTTTCTACCCCGGTTTTTAACCCGGGATTAATTTACTTTCGAAAATCAGGAATAAAAACTGCTCTTGATTGTACTATTGATTAGGTATATCAAAATCATTTTATTTGCAGGCAAAAGGCCTAAAGCCCATGTCCCATGCATCCGTTTATACGATGATACAAAAGTGTTTCCATTGGTTGGAGAGTCGTCGTACGAATTGACAGATCTCCAACCAATATAAACACTTTCGCATCTTCGTACCATCGTATAAACGGATGCAGAAGACACGGGCTTAAACGAATGCATGGGAGACATAATGGGGGGCTTAATTCAATTCAAATAGCGCTTAATTCCAAAGTTGAAATCGTATCTTCAAGAGTTGATGTCCTCTCTTCACTCTGTATATTGACAAAATAGAAATAGTATCATTTTCCAGCGAAAACAATTCAGAAAAAAATCTATTATATAGCAAATTATCCGCCAAAAATCGCTTCGTTTAGATAACTGATCTAATCTAGCGCAATAAATTCGTACATCTATAATCTCGAGGAAAAAAAAGCATTAAATTAAGAAGAGAATACGGCAATGCCGCAATTAAATGTCATTTAAATATGAACTGCACTACAACTGCCGCTGCTGTCAAACTCAATTAAAAGTGATCCCGGGTATTTGTTATGCTAAATATGTAAAAACTGAGAATATTGGTGAAATCAATTAAAAACTTTACTTGAAGCGAAAGGTAAGTGCATCCGCATCGTTTTAACCTTTTGTTTCTTACCTGCCTTAAACATGTAAACAACTCAAACAGACTATGGGGTTATCACCAATTTCTCTGGACTGTAGTCGAACTTGTAACTACTGAAAGGAAATGCTAATATTTTACCAGGTTATCACTGCTGCAGACAACGTATAAGAGGGCTGTTTTTGTAACATCCAAACAGATGTAAATTGCGCTTTTCATAAACCTTGAAGTGTAACATTAAGAAAGTAATTGAACAGAAAAACTGCTATATTTATATAGCAACATAGGCAATACCAATTACAAAGTTTTCGGGAGAATACAACAAATTATAAGTAACATACATTTAGACTGAAACAATTACCATAAATAAACAAAACTGGACAACCAGTAGGCAACTGGCCGTTGCCAAACGTTGCGTATAAAACGCTTTAATTAGAACTGTTCGCAAGAAAGATTAATGGAATACCCCTACAGCAATTAGCCAAGTTCAAAAAGAACATAATAATAAATATTATCTCCACATCAAGTAGAAGTGCTATGTAATGTTAAGATAAAAACAAACTATACTTGTAGCTAGTTTCTTTACTAAGACTTTTTTTAGTTGTATTTCTTGGGGAAACCCTGTTCGCAACCACTTTAGGCTCAATGAAGTTTTCCATTTTTCCATATAGAAAGTGGTCACATCATTTTCGTTCACTTTGTAAGCGCCTCTCATTGTAGGTCAACTTCTATTTTCTGTAACAGTTACATTCCGGTTCCCCTTTTGTAATACGTTCCAAAAGACTGTTATAAAATCAACATATTATTTTATAATTTTTCATTCAAAATGCTCAATGATGTTTGTATAAAAAGTGCTGCTGATAAATAATGATTATCTTTATTTAAAAGAATAATTTTTAACATTGGTAAACTATCCTTACTGTTTTGGTGGAGATATCAGCTTAACATTAAAAACGAAGCAGTTAACCATTCTTACTAATCTAACTAATTACCAACTCTTATTATTAGTACTAATTAAGACTAACCCATATACCTACAAAATGTTTGAGAAAAATCACGTACAAACAAAACATAGATTGGTAATGCACAAAATTTTTTCTTAACTTAACTTTGTCGCCGTTTCGGCATTGTAGTAGAGAGCGTGAATGTCGTTGCATCCTTGGTTTTCTTATGGAAAAGTGAATTTTAATGAGTGAAACGTGGTGGAAATAGGGGTTTTCCAAGAAACATGATGTACTAATTTAACTAAGAAAAGTTATTAGTAAAAGACTATCTACAATGTAAACATCTACGTTTAACTTCGAACGCGATGGGGCCATAAACTAATCAATTACCGAATGCATTGTTCTTTACAACCAAATCATCCCTGAACTTTGGGATGAATGCAGATATGTTTACAGAGTTGGTGCGTATATTTAGACACCTTCTGACTTATTATTAGGGGCAAGAGAAAAACATAAAAATTGCAAGCCGGAAACTCACTAATTGCAAGACATCCTGTATAATTTAGAGCGATGGATAAAAAGATGAATATTATTATATCGAAGTCGTATGTAATTGTCGATATAAACGGCCACGTCACATTGCCAAAAATATTTTAGGCCTGTACAGCATATCCGATTACATCCATCGTTGTAAAAATTTTCAGAAAGATCGTACATCGCGTTTTCCTTAACATCTAATAACCGATTGACTCTCAATAACTCTGTAGAGAAAATAAAGTAAAAAATGGCTTTTTCAATTTTTATAATAGTAATAATTTGTTTTTCTCTTGCAGTAGGGGTTTGCATTGAAAGATGCATAGTTCGGAAGTTCGAGATGACAGCAATATTCCCGAGTTGGTACTAAAGCTTTGCAAGTACTTAGCTCCTGATAGTGGATTATTGCAATCCAAGCTAACGGGCATCGCTTTTCAGTGGCTCACTCAGTCCTCTAACAATCAGGAAAACGTCCTCAGTGATGAACCACTTGTCGTGAACAATATTCACGAACTGTTGAGTTCGAGATCATCAAAGGATGTGGAAAATTTTGATTTGTTGTATAGTAGCCTTAGCAAGTCGGGGATTATAAGAGATCGAACTACTCTGTTGAGTTTTTTATATAGAATCTCGTTGGCACACCATGAACGGCCTTTGCGTTCCCTCTGTTGCAAGCTAGACAAACTACATATGAAAGAGTTGCGCGGAAGCAAGGCATCAGTACAGAGAAGCGTAAATAATCTGTCTTCCATCGATTCAAATAGTGTTCGACATATTTTTGAACGAAATGATCGCAAATTTACTGAAACAACAACAGCTTCAACATTGGCTCGAGCGAACTCACAAGCTACGACAATTTCATCAGCAGCTTGGTCTCATCATGACATTCCCTCTTCATCTAAGGCTAGTATTTGCTATCCTGTAACTGAACAGGAATTATTACACGATGTTATTTACAGCCTGCAAGGTATTCAGGGCAAATTTCTCAGAAAAAACCTCTCTGGCTTTGGATACAAACTGGATCCAAAAACAAGTAAGCCCTTATCACATATTCAAAGAAGTTTACTAGAAAGGATAGTGGGTACTGGTTTGCTACACAATCAATTGAGGCAGTTTTGCGAGGAACACGAAAAGCAAAGCGGATTGATTTGCCAAGCCTTTATTGCTACCTTAAATAACGAATTGTCTGAATATTATAAAATTATAGCAATATTGCAACCAAATTCAGAGATGACTCTCAGGAGAGTGCTTTTCATATTGCAAGATCATAGAACTCGATTTGAATGGTTGGCTCATATCGCCGAACATTGTAATGATCCCAAGGGAGGCGCATTGATCACTGCAGTTCACGGATTTCTGCAGCATGGGTCCAAAGTGGTTCAAGAAGTAACGCGAAAAGTACTCGAAGCTGTCTGCAATCCTTTGTACATTATGCTATCACGATGGTTACTAGATGGGGAAATAAATGACCCTTGCAATGAATTTTTTATAGAAGCAAAGCACGTGATACTGGCGGAAAGGCTTTGGCATGATAAGTACATCGTTAGAAAGTCTATGGTTCCATCATTCATGAGCATGAAACAGGCGAAACAAATTTTAGCTAGTGGAAAAAGTATAAACTTTTTGAAGCAGGTATGCAAAGATGGTGGCCAACTACCGGGTCGTGAAGCATTACAAAAGCTATTCAATACTACATCTGCTGACGCCTTATTCGCACCAGAACAAAGCATTGAATTTCATCTCACTCTGGAGACAGTCTATAAAGAAACGTCTTTCCGAGTTTTAGATTTGTTAAAGAATAAATATAATATATATGAACATCTGCAGTCTCTAAGAAGATACTTACTTCTTGGACAAGGAGATTTTATAAGACACCTGTTAGAATTGCTTACTCCAGAACTAAATAAGCCTGCAGACGCCATTTATGGACATACGTTATCAGCTATCTTAGAATCAGCAATAAGAGTCACTAACGCCCAATACGAAGATGAGGATACTCTGAAAAGGCTCAACATCAGTTTTATGAGTCATTCGATAGGTGACGTGGGCTGGGATGTGTTCAGCTTGGTCTACAACGTCGACGGCCCTATTGGCACTATTTTCCAAACTACAATGCCAACTTATCAAAGTTTATTTGGTGCCTTATGGAAAGCGAAGAGAACGGAATATGTATTAGCCAATATGAGACGACAGCAGATTTCGATGGCAAAGCTTTTCCGGAAAGTCAGGGAGCTGAATCCTGTAATGCATATTATTCATATTCTGACCAGCAAGATGATTCATTTTATTCATCAGACCCAGTATTATTTCTTATTTGAAGTATTGGAGTGCTCTTGGGCTGAACTTCAGACCCAGTTCAACAAAGCTGAATGTCTCGACGATATTATCATGGGACACAATAGTTTTTTGGAGTCAATTCAAAGAGGCGTTTTGATAGACACTGAATCTCGACAACTATTTTCACACTTGATTTCCATCTACAATTTTGTTGTGAATTTGGAAAGCCATCAGGAAGCCATATATGAAGCAGCTAGTTGCGAATATGAGGCGTTTATGGCGTACAAAAGAAAAACAGAAGATACCGAACGTTTTGAAATCACAAACGAGCTGGAAGCTGCAGCAAAATTGAGAATTAGCAAGTTTCATCAGTTTCTAAATACTACAAGACTTAAAGTGAAATCAACAGTGCAAACGTATGATATAATAGTAACCAAATTTTTAGAACTTCTCGCTTGCAGTTCAAATATGAAACTTCAGTTACTTAGCGTCAGGCTTAGCTTTAACAATTTTTATAAATTGTCATGTTGATACAAATAATGTCCAGTTAGAGTTAGAGTTAATAGAATCAAATTAGCATGTAACATCACAGATAGTTACAGAATTAACTCTATTCAGTTTATTTTTTTAAATATTTTTCTTACAGAAATAAATTATATTGTTCTTAACTCGTTAATAGAATGCATTTTAATATCATTTAAAACTGGTTTTTTTTGAGGAGGAGGAGAAATGGTTTTTAACTACTGTGTAGTTATCAGCAACATTTCTGCAGAAATATTACGGTAATCAATGTGTATGATGATTATTAAAAGAATGGTTTCATAACATATTACATCATTTTATATGATAAAATATTTTGTTTGAAGGTATATTGAATCATAGTGATTCACAAACATAGATAATTTGATGAGGACAGTGCGTATACGACTACAAAAGCAATGGAAGTTAATTTAATTCGGAATCAACAATACAAAGTTTTAAATATTTCATTTGAAAAAGGCAAAGTAAAAAATATTTTATATTTCTTATGCAGACCATGAATTTGTTTGTGTCGGAACTGGTTCGTTCTACAACCAAATTCAAGATTATTTATAGAAGTTAAATAAGACATTTAATTTTGAAGGTACGGAATGCCATGTTTTTGGGGGCGCATCTACATAGCAATCCGTTTTAAGGATGGGATGCCCCCGGAGATCAATTGGAACCAGGATCGAAAGAAATAGTCGATTAAGACAAGTGGAACATCATAAAATATTTATGTTAGGAATATATTATGCCATAATCTTTACAGGAAACAGAAATACGGAAGAAAATACTGAGCAACGTGATGAAGAGTTAAACAAAACTCAATCATTATTTTCTAATGTAATCAAAAATGATTTTGGAAAAGATATTGTTTGTAGTTCGTTTATGCACCCAAAATACTCAGATGATGAACTTACCGATGAACGAATAATGAATGAATTTGAAATAATAAATCTTGAATGTCTAAAGTACATAGCGGAATATGTGGCGTACAGGTATAGGGACAAATATTCCTAGAAGTATTGATTGATATGATTGGTTGCAGACTATTTTGAGAGGGTTTTTGATGGAACAATTAACGATTTATTTAAGGAAGCTCAGGTTCTTGATGCTGAGTTTTTTGACATGCATAAAAACTATTTAATCAGTAAAAAAACCCTTTTATAAAATTGGCACAGAGAACTATGAAGAAGTTAGAAGTTCGTCAGTTCTGTTTGAAGTAATTCTCTGTCTGATTCAAACTAGAATTTATATTAGTTTACGAGACCATAATCAATCGAAGAATAAGTTTCAAAAACTATAAAAAGAAATTAAAACAAAAATTTTAAAGTTTGCTAATTATAAAAAATAAGTTTGAATTGTGTTATGTATGTATATTGTGTGGTGTTATAATAATCTGCTAATAATCGAAAATTTTATCCATAAGTGTAGTATATCCCTATTTAATTGTGTTGAAAAAATGTATTAGACATGTCAGTACATGTAGTATGTATGTTGTTATGAGCATCGTGTGATAATTCCTATAATACCGATCGAATTTCTTTCGCACGTGACGTCACACGGCCGGCTCCTCATGCGCATTGGCATACCGTGTATAGGTGTATCGTCCGTAGTACCTACTAAGTAGGCTGGTACGTTGCAGAAAAACGGTCTCTTAATCAAATAATAAATAGCGTATAGAAACCAAACCTTTAAACAAATAATATCTATATTACATAATATTACAAAAAATCACTGGACGTCTAGTATTTCATACTAAGTGGAAGAACATAAATAAATCTAGTAACAACGGATAAACCCTTTATAGTCCAATGATTCCCAAGTGTATTGATGATAAAAGAATTTTTAAATTGACAAATGAGCTACATTTTCAATTGCCGAAATGAAACTAATATATGGTGATGTATCACACGAGTTGGTAGTAATGTAATCTCCATCGATGCTTCTCTTAACAGAAACCACCTACTTTATGATACCTATTTAAATAATTAGAAAATCCCTTTAAAGATTTCTCTAATATTCTACAACACTCTTCTTTGGTATAGTCTAGTTTATGTTGACACTCTGCGATGGTAAGCAATGGATTATTTCTAAAATCATCAACTTCTTCAATTAGGTAAAGCATCTCAGCTTCGTTCCAGGTATTGGTGCAATTAACTGTTTGCCATAGCTTGAAAGCATTCAACCACATAGGATTTTTCTGAATTTTCAAATATTTTTCGAAAATCGACCGACAAGTTTGGTCAGTGAGGCAATTTTCAATACGATTGCTGAATCTTTCAATCTGTTGAATGGTGAACGTAACTGAGTTGGCCATTATTTATCCTGCAAACAAATTTTTAATTAACTATGTCAGCGTTTATACCTTTTAAATTAACATTATGAAAATCTGTGTATTTATGCATTAGTACCATTTCTATTAACGGATACAGGCGAATAAAACTGAGTTAATGATTCTGTTATGCGTGATGTACAAAGTGATTCAGAAACATGCAATCAAACTTCCAGAATATACAAAGAAATTGAGTTTATTTCTAATTTTCCGCCTATGCCTTGTATTTACAGGGTGTTAAAAATCGACTTCTTGGTTTTGCAGGGATGACGTTTTTCGTGTTGGATCCATTTTCACAATATAGAGCAATTAAAGTGAACTTCAATTTCAAACAACCCGTTTAATGATGCAACCCTGTATATCAGATTTCCGTCCTAAGTCGATTATGAAATTTTCGTTTCAACAAGAGCTAGACGTTTTGAAAATCGGTCCAAAAATTTTATTACTGCAAGGTCAAAATGTTGCTGTTTTGAGCTCACCGTGTAGGTAATAGATATACGCGAAAAATTTAATCTAAAAATATTTAAAAATAAAAAAATAGTTTTCAGCTTCCACGTTTTTCTTTATGCCATTTATCTTAAAATCAGAATTTTTTCCAATTGGGAGCACGCCGATTTTTCAGAAGTTTTGCATTGTTGCAATTTCCACCCTGTAGGAACTTTATCTGCAGCACCAAACTTTTCGAAAAACAGTTGGTGACTGAAAAAAAATTGGACTATAAAAGGCTTTAAACAGAAATAAAATTGCTCAATACAATCAAAATCCAGGGCTTAAGTTCATATCAAAATCCAGTGCAAATTTGGCCGTGAAACGATTATTTAGTTGAGGAATTTAGATCTAAAAAATGCGAATATGTTTTTTTAGAGGCAAGCTGTGACATTGATGAATTGGAAGCTGGAGGAAATGAGGAGTGAGTCTGAGCCTTAAAGTAAAAAGAAATCTTAGAGTAAAAAAGCATTGGTTTCTTCGTCTGCCACCATGCACAAAGTTTTCACATCATTTAAATATTTTTAAAAACTCAATAAAAATCATAAATCATATGATTATCGAAACCAATCTTTACAGTACTCAAATAAAATATACCTCTATCAACACATAAACTAAAGAGTTTACAGATTTCATTTCTATATTATATTACACAGTCGAAAACGACAATGAAATAAAAAATAAAATTGTAACAAATACCAAGAACACCAAATTGAATTTAATAAATATTTCAGGAAGAACTGAACACATTTTTAAACGCAATTTTTTTAAAACAAACTTCAATCATTTCCAATGTACATGTAAATGAAAAGCTGCATTGTTAACATGAGTAATAAATGCTAACTTTAGTTCGGAGTCTCAAATATTTTTTGCTTTTCGGTTTACGAAAACTACTGGTCAGTTGACACAATCATTGAATCAATCACAAGTTTGATGTTGGTTCAACGTTTCAAAAGCCTTAGACGCCTCATAGGTTTCAATAACAATAAAAACATAAATGAAACAACACGAAACAGGTACTTCAAAGCTCACTGATAGAAAAACTAAAATAAAAATTTCAGGGTGTCACACTAAAAACAATTACTCGATCGACGAAACAATGGCTACGTATAAACAGAATCGAGCCAGCAACCTCCACCAATATATCCAAAATAAATCATAGGAATAGGCTTTGTATATTTTTAATTTTTCTCACAAAAAAAAAGAATATACATAGTTCTGGGAACATTACCATCGAATGGAATTGCTGGCTGTTCATTTGAGAAAGAAGAGAAAGTTTTACAGAAAGATGGAACATCCTACAAATCGGATACAAGAAAATGCCTCAACATTGTAAATGAGTGGATAACAATCGAGTACTTTTGTAGAACAATGTCCATGGCATCGAATCGACAAAAACTATGACTGAAACAGAAACCACTGAATCAAAAATTGGTGATGTAAGCTGTCCTGTTATTACGAAACAATATAATAAGTATATGGAGACGTGCATACATCTAATGATTTGATGCGCATCATAATTAGCAATATTCTATATAAAGCAAAACTTAGTGTTTATCTACTTAACATATCCGTAGTAAATATCTGGACTGTCTACCTAAGGGACTGTTCAAATTTGAGAGACAAAAAAAAACATGTCACTAAAGCAATTTAGGCTACAAATTGCAAAGTATTATCCAAATGAAGTAAAGAAGCTAGGAAAGGTCGACCTTAAATGCAGTTACAATCTATTATCGAATTGTGAGTTTCTAGATTAAAATGTGATCCACAGCATTAAAGGGAGGGTAGTCGATTATGTCTTACAAGTAGTAAACAGTATTTTAAGAGTTTTCATTTTATTAAGACAGTAAAATTCTGGAAAAATGCAGGAAAAAAAGTTTATCATGTCCTCATGGCCTTTAACCTTAGCAGCAAGCAAATTCCAATAACAATGTCATTAAAGTTAGAGCTATAAGGGCTGCAGGTGATAGAATATGTTGTTTGAATACCTTGCACAATAAGGATTTTTTAATTTGATGTTACCATCTGGTTTCATAAACCGATAAAAAATTCAAGACGCTACGGGCCATGACCCTTTAATACCGTTCTGTGCAATAATGTGTTTTCTCGAGTTTTTATGCATTTTATTTTGATTTGTTTATACACAATAACTTAGGATTGAACTAGCCGTATGTAGTATTTCTGCTACGTGTTCACTTGGACCAGACTGATAAGAGAAATTCTTGAAATGTTGGTACAATTACTGATTTAATGAAAATGTTCGCAAAATAGTAAGTAGTTCTTTATGGAGAACTACACCAATCAAGAGCTGGCAGATATTCATATGCAATTTGGTCTGGCAACAGAAATGCGGTTGCACGATTTCATGAAGAACGCTATCTTGCAAGGCAACATGCTGGGTACAATAAGTTTTTTGGAATTTATTGACGACTTACCGAGTCTGGAAATTTGAAACTTAACTTGCACGATACTGATGTACAAAGAACAGCAAAAACAGTGGATTTTCAGAAGGAGGTGCTTAACCGAGTTGCAAATGCATCTTAGATTAACACTAGTCAAACTGCGCAGGGTCTGGGCGCGACTCAAGCTTAAGTTTGGCCGATGTCACATGAGCAACTTTATCCATACCCTTTACAAGCAGTTCAAGGTTTGACTCTAGACGACCGATTATCAGCTAAAAGTTCAACTTTGTCAGTGGCTCATCAGATTATTGAACCACTCAATTTGGGTTTATGGACAGATGAAGTAGGAATAACGATGTTTGAGCTGAAGAATCAACGTACGATACTTGCTCAAAGTCATCAGCAATGTTGGTTTTTTTAACAAATCGGCTGGTATTGTTGAGGACCATTTGGTTGACCCATCAACTGCCGCCAATAATAATTCAACCAACCAAAACAAATACACGAAACATACTCGTGAACAGTTGGGAATTTCCAAGACCACTTCCAGCAATCCATTATTTCTTTAATTGTACTTTATAGAGCTAGATAATTTCTGTCAAAATTATCCAATGAATCAACAATATTTTTGATATTTTTATGTTTTTGATTATGGGAATGCATTCATTGCTTTATATTCTTGCAGTTTTTATACACGCTACTGACGGACCCTCCACTGCTAGTTGCTATTGTCTCCACAATATCACGGATCTTGGGCTTTATGTTTATAAATAATAATCTCTTCAAATTAGTGTTTTTAGATATTTTCTTGGGTGGCCCTTTGTTTCTCGTTCGACTCTTCTACTTATGACATTAAAATACCAACTACAAATCTGCATCAAAACTACAAAATACCAAATCAGTACGAACGAACTTCATCCTCTACGGAAGAAACGGGATCTACATTTTTTATGAGTGATAGACCCATTGTAAATGTATTTGTACTGAACATACACTGTACATTTGTACGGGTTACTCGCTCTTGAATTTGAACCGACTATAATCAGTTAGCATCTACGGGCGCTTTCCGCAAGACGTCCTGCCAGAACTTCTTGAAAATGTCCCATTAATCGTTCGATAACAAGAGGGGCTGCAATATAATGGTGCGCTTGAACACTTTTCCATTGTTCAAATCCGTCATTTAGGAGAACATGGGATTGGTAGATGTGGTCCAGGATCGTGGCCCTCTAAGTCACCAGATCTAACACCTTCAGATTTCTTTTTCTGGGGACATGTACATTTTGAACAATTAATACAAGTACACTGAATGTACAAACAAATTAAAATAAAATGCATTAAAGAAAACGAATTTTTGCATAGTCTTAAAGCGTCATAAGGCAAAGCACTTTAAGGAGGCATTGTCGGACATATTTTCATATATACTCAAATGTCTTCCACTGTTGCACTGAACACCAACTAGATGTTTTATCTCGTAGTTCTGAATCACCCTGTTTTACTACATTTATGATTCAAGAATCCAGTTTAATTTTCTAATAACAATTAGATGATAACACTCATCGATGCCATTAAGATATTTCTCGAAAATTATATTTAGTTATTTATCCACTAAACTTTCACAATTTAATTCAATATTTCAGCATGAATAAAAAATAATAAAAACTGATTGTATGGCTTGATGACGTATTAAGAAAGAAAGGGAGTTGACCACTTATTTTAGGAAGATCTTGGATTTTACTAATATAAGGGGTGATTCCTTAATATAAGTTGATACATTAGTGTTAATTGTATCCATAAGACATATGACTTCTATTTTTAGAAGGGAAGTGTTGGAGTTTTTGAACAATGCTTTTCTCAATAGGTAGATTGGCCGAAATGATTTAAAAGTGGTGTCATTCCTCTTTGGATTGTTTGGAGAGAACAGAAAAAATGAGTCTATTTCTCAAAAATATTATCTGTTAAAGATGTACTTCAACTCATTCAACTATTGGTATCTGTAACATTACAAATTAAACAAATCGAATCTTGTTTAAAAATTTCGAACTGAGACAAATACGATTTTAAAAAATTTCCAAGAAAAATCATATCGACATCCAGGCATTTATTTACATAATATAAATTGTAAAAATTGTTGAAGATGTGTACTTTGTGAAGACGTGTTTTCCTTCCGTGCGGAGACTGTAAATAGCAACAAATTTTTATATGGGAAACGCGACGAATCCACAGTATATCAAGTAATTGGTTTTTAAAACGAATTTATTTCTTCTGAAAAAGTGAGAAAAAAGAGATTGGCCATAACTGTCGATTAAAAGTCGATTGCTGTAGTAATACTGAAAACAATACTCATAAGCAATCATTAAGACTACGGTGAGTTTTATGGAAACAAGCAGAAGAACCAGAAATAAAAATCTTAGTCCGTATCAAGTAATAGGTTAAAGAAGGGCTGCAACCCATCGATCTATCCACTAAATAACAACTAAATTTTTAAACTAAGTTCTTCTCAACGGGTTAGACTGCCGAATGTAATCATGCCGTCTTTATTGATTCGTTTTTGTCTGCTTAGAATTAAGTAGTCTGTATGTTCGAATTTAATTAAATTAAGACATTTAAGTACTTTTTAAATATAAAATCTTTAATATATGTTACTTTTGAAAACGTAAATATCCAGATATTTAAGAGAAGGGTAGTCTTGACCGACTAGTTAGAGGACAAAAGTAGTTTGTTGGAGTATCTAAGGTGGTTTTGTTTCTGAAAGAAAAGACTAAACTTTTCAGCTACCGAGCTGTCTGAAATGGCTTATTTCCTTCTTCAGGGCTAAAATACATCAGAAAACACTCATTGGTATTGTCTCCCATGTATATCAAGTCAAAAATAGTTTCAAAAAACAGTTTTAAAATTATAGTTTAAACAAAATATAAGTGTTACAATGTTCTCCTATTATAAAATATTGTCCATCATTAATAACGACATAAGGATGGACAATATTTTATAAATAATAGTAGAACATTGTAACACTATTTAATTTTATTACACAACTATAATTTTAAACTGTTTTTGACTGGGTATACATGGGAGATAATACCAATGAGTGTTTTCTTTCACAAACAAAACCACCTCAGTACCGAGACAACAAACTCTTCTTTTAACCAGATATTGATAAACAAGTCAATTTTTCAAAACCCCCTTACAATTGTGATTACAGCAAACTGGAAATTACTTCAGTTATTTAATTTGCTGGAATTATGAAGTATCAATTAATTTGGTTGTAGTGTTGTGATGGTTATTTTCTCTGTTTATTATGAACACTGTTGTGTTGTGTTACAATAACTCTCGTATTTTTTAAGTTAGTTTTATATTGTTTTTTATATGAAATCCTCAAGTTCCCATCAAAATAATTTAACTAATACATTGACGAACTAATAATACGGCATTACAAGTGTTTCATTCAAACCAAAGAAAGTTATTTGATTCATATTCCTGTAAAACTTTGCTTTAGCATAACTTATACTGTCAGTACCTTAAAATAGAAATAATACGCAAAAGAAGTAATATGGCATGCAAGTAAAAAATGTTTAATGAAGGCGTTATCAGTTCCGTGCAGATGCTTACCGGTACCCAAACAAAAAATCGGTATATAATGGACATTTTCAAATTGCATACTTACATTATAAATCCATACAATATCGTTGAACAGCTGCGTGATAGATAAAGAAGTTGGATCTAAACATTCTATTGAATATGTATATAATCTAATCGTTGTTGAATCCACTGAGAATTWAAAAAAAAGWTCGATGGTTTATTGGAAACTGCACCAAAAATCCCAATCAACTTTTGCTTGTGATTTCTCAGTTTYGTTTCACTTTGTCGTATATTYATCAGTACCTATGTAATAATTGGAATTTTTAKTTTTAAGACTATCAGCATTATTAATAATYGCMCGTAAAAGTGCTAAGTGCATTAAAAAAAATGTATTACATACTTGGAAAGAAGATACATAGTATGTATAAAACAATACATACTGTAAACAACTTATTTATAATATGTGAATCAGATATTAAGGTTATGTTGACATTTATATTTAAGCTCATCCAAATAAATAGCCGATTTTACAAAATAGCTATGGGAACTATCGAATTATTTGACAGTAATTTAAAATTTAATTTATTTGAATTATTCGATAGCAGTGTTTTATTCATGTGTTTTCTAATTATCGGATAATCTGATCCGAGCTATAGTTCCATTGTAATGAACGAATTCAAATTTTCAATAAATTAATTTGTCACTTTTTAAGCAAATATATTCAATATTAATTTATTAACTGTTTTTTTTGTTCAAAAATCCAAAAGATTTCTTTTGGAAAACGTTTATAGTCAATTTTGTTCATTTTTATTATTAACTATTTTTTGGTCAAAATGGACTCATCACTTTCAAAGAAAGCGGGTCGTATAGCATAAAATGTTTCCAAAACCCTTCGCTTGGAATATGAAATGTCTTGGGAGACCGCGGGTTGTGTGTATTAAACATCCTGACAATGGTTTGCATAATTTCACGCTGATGAGATTTATAAGTATAAATCGCATCAGCGTGTGTTACCATTAGTTAGTAGAGAATAGACCAAATATGTCGTCTTACGTCTTACAGAAATTCCTAAAAAACTCATAAATTTCAAGCTGGCAAATTGCTTCAAATCAACCTATTCAGACTCGACCAGAAACATATAAATTGTGTCAAACAGTTTTACACACCATACGATTTACAGGGAATTGGATTTCGATCACGAAAATTTTATTTATAATATATAGTTATATTTTTTACGTTATCATGTCAAATTGGCATCGTGATAATAAACGCTTATGGTCAAACAGTACAGGATGCGTCTCGAATCTGAAAGATTCATACTAACGAATATTTTTATTCGATAGTTGATCATTCATTTAGTAATTATTCGACAGTGCTCATCACTATTAAAAAGCACTTATACACCACAGATCACAGAGGTTATCTGCGCTATATATAGTTATAGCTATAATAGTATGTAGTCTGTGGCTTATACATCACACAGAGGTTATATGTGTGTTCTGTGTGAAAAATATTTTAAAGTTTTAAATAAAAGCTTCCACCTGGCTAGTTAAAGTTGAATAAATTAGAGCAAAATATTTCAGATTTGAATCATCGATCCATCCCTATTGAGAATACAAAATCCGTTTAAGTCATAGTGCAATTAACAGCAAAAAACATGTATAACAAAGCAAACTTTCTTACACGACATTAAAAAGTGTGATCACAACAGATCATATTACCACGAATCGTTTAGCAAACAAAAATTGTTTAAATTTTTAAATTTGGAAAAAACAGCCCGAACTCGTGCTATCCTCCAATAATGCAATAAACAGCAATAAACAATAAAAAATGCAATTATTCGGACGGATCCTAGCCCCTGAAAATCCCTACCAGTAATGGTTTGGCCAAAAATAATTTGCTTACATTTTTAACAAAGAAGTGATTTAATCACCTCTGCGAAATGCATACTTATACATTATACATTCATGTAAGCTGTTCAAAGAAAAAATAATTTGAAAAAATAGCGCAAAATCTAAATGTGTCTTGGCCAGATCACTCACGGTAAAAGTAATGCCAAACTTACCGAAAGCTGCAAGTACCCTCTGAAAAAAAAGAACATTCTGTATTATTACATAAGTTTAGTCGAAACCTAGTGAATTGATTGGAAAGAAAAAAAAAATAGAAAACTGAATAAAACTTTAAATGTTTCTCGAAACTGAACTCACTTTAAGTTAAGGGTTTATAGATTAATAATCCTACCTGTTTTTTTGCGAACTGGTGCGCCATCAAACCATTGTCTATTCATTAAATCTCAAAAAGACACACTACACGAACACAATGAGAATCCACACAAAGTTGAAAATAAATGTCGACCGTTCGTGCCTAAATAGCACTAAATTGGTACTTTTATCCCGTTTATGAACAAAGAACCGACAACCGATTTATTCCCTTGCCCATAATAGACTGAGCTAAATTTTCAGATTTCCGATAACATTCATACGAAATTAAGGTGTTTATCACATAAAAAACGCACCGACCTACAGAACTCACATAATCATTCGCTCGTTGGCCCTTTGGGTGAGTCATTGTATTGGTATGCTGTTCGATTTCAGTGTTTTTCTTATTGACAATTTTCGAGAAATTTCCAGTCCGAGATCGAACTGGTTTGGATATTTAGCGTAAACAAAGTTGCTTTCTCAAACATCGCCGTTCATGGGGCGACATTTGAATGCTAACATAAAAAAAAAACTCGCGCTCCGATCAATCGTTTGCTCAATTGTCATGAAACGTGAAAACGTTTTCAGCTTGATCTATTGTGAAAGGCTGCACAATTTTTAGCAGATCCACCAGATTCAAAGTATCCGCAAAATATGCCATGATTTGTGAATGCTTCACTTTCATTTCACTATTAAGAGCGACGGAAAATTCGCACTTTTGCTCAACTGCACGCTTTCCTTTAAAAATTGATTGGATTGAAAGTAACAACTTGAAACTTTCAAAGAACGTGAAAGATATTTTTTTTGAAGAACTTTGACCATCAATAGGATCGTAGCCAGACATATTTTGTGAATAAAAGTTAGGTCAGATCGTCTTCTTTTGATATAAACGATCTAGGGGGGATATCAACTTATGAGGAAACACCCTGTACATGTTTTGCTATTATCACTATAATCGAAAATGTTTAACTTTGAGCTTTTACGTTTAAATATAAAACCAAATTATCTAAATGCATTTGTACCTCATTATTTTTATCAAATTTCTAATAGGTGACTGTTTAGCCAACTAACAAAATACGTAGTAGGAAACGGTAAATTAAATGTATTATAGCGCTATAAAGCTGTTATGGACTTCTGGTTCAAGTACATTTTCTAAACATGCAGACTAGAAAGAATAGAATGTTAGCAGTAGTTACATTTGGAATTTTGTTGAATTTTGTGGCATTTTCTGAAAGTTTAACATTGGGTAACCTTATCAGTGGCATGCTACAAGTTGTTCCAGACTCCACTACTAATAGTAACACTTCCACCTCCAACAGTAAGTACCATGAGTACAGTAGACATACTATATTAAAATTATTGGTGAAAATTAAATTTTAAGTAGTTTACTTAGTAAAATTATACAGATAATTTGTAATGGTCATTTCGCATTCTAGTAGTATTCCAAATTGCGCAATATGCTCAAACTTTCGCCAATTTTCTGCTTGAACGAATTACGTTTCTTTCAATTTTCTATGAAATAGCACGACAACCACGCATCTATGCAGATATTTGTTGATAAACATATTAACGTTATAGTCTTAGCTTGTTTTTGGTTAGACTTTAAATTGTGTTCTTCAAAACTAACAAAGCAAAACGGTGTCAAAATTGCGAATTGGGAAGTGGCCGCAACTGAACTGCTGATGTAATACTAAAGCCTGTATCCCATGCATCCGTTTATACGATGGTACGATGATAAGAAAGTGTTTCTATTGGTTGGAGATCTGTCAATTTGTCTGCCGTCGTACAAACTGACAGATCTCCAACCAATAGAGACACTTTCGTATCATCGTACCATCGTATAAACGGATGCATAGGACACAGGCTTAATAGGAAGGAAATAATAATATGTTATTTTTTGCAAAAAAGTTTTCACACAGATTTTTCAAGTAATTATTGACGAAAAGCTACCTACATCTATTTATTACTTAGTTTGTAGTGAAAATGCTTCCTTCTGTACCTATGCCCATCATAATCATTGTGCACAGTCAAAAAATCGGAAAATGATTTGCTCTAAGTACTTAACTATAATTTGGGTCTATTTACAGGTTTGGCTCCTTTTTTCACTAAGTTGAAAGACGTTACTGAGCTTACCACTGATATTACGCAAGGGGATTATGTGAGTGCTCTGATAGATGGTATCGACTTTTTAGAGACATTCAGCGCGCTGCCTGAGCCAGTAAAATTGATACTGAAAATATACGAAATGTTCTTGAAGATTCTACGCTCATCTTATCGGACATTGTTCAAACGCAAGGTGCATTAGCGCTCGTCTATGCGTATGAACAGTGGAAGTTCCAATGCATGTCACAATAAAACTGAAAATAATTAATATACTTTAGAAAACAATGTTCAAATTATAGTTTTTCTACCATTATGTTTTCGTGTTTTCAAAAAGACTCCTTTAGGCCGACCATTTTTCAGAGTTTTTCTATCCAATAAAAGTAGGTATGTGGTTTTTGCATCATTTAAATACACCATTCAGTGTTATTGTTGCAAATAATTTTTAAAGTAGAATTGTATGTATGTAGTTAAGAAATTACAATATAGGTAGCTGCGCGCTTTAGATAGTCAGCTACCATCGGCTCACTTTGAACCAGCGGTTGATAAAAACTATTGAGCCTCGGGTTCGTCAACTGGGAGTAGACTTGTATTATCTAACGTTGGCCATATTGCGTGAACAGCATCAGCCAATCAAAATCATTGCTTTCTTGTCAGTTTCGAGTGTTTGGTACCTGCATTTTAACATCCTACTGATTTAAATCAGATTCTTCTTGGTTCTCCACTAAATTAATAAAATATAGTCTACAATATTCTCTATGATTGTTAGTCATCGCTCTATTATTGTTCTTTAAAGCACTATTATTATATTGGGGCATTTATTCTGCATCAAACTTTAAATTGGGGTCTAGAGTTGGACTTGGTTCAATCGTGTTTTGCACATAAGAAATTAAATTAATAAAAAAAAAAAATTATTTAAGCATAAAACTTATACAAATATGTGGTAGGTATGGATGTACGCAAATGAGGTTGGAAAAACTCGTTCGAATGTGTTGGTGTTTGGTTTGATGACATAATATTCAATAAAATGATGACGAAAGCCCTGAACAGGCATCGTAAATTGTTGCCACACAGAAATGCCTTTTCAAGCAGAAATGCGTTTTTAAAACGTTTATTCCAATTTCCGCAAAATAACCAGACTTAAGCAAGACGAAGAAATCAAGTTAATATATTGTAACGGAAATGGCCTGGGGTACTCACGTTTGGAATGGGGGATCGAAATTCATGGTCAAATATGACACTGACAAGCGGGAAGTTTCGCACCTGTTCTGGAGATTTCTAGAACTATCTGGAATACCTGTAGAAAAGTATATAAGCGACGACGAGAACCAGACAGAGAAGTGAAGTGACAGGAGCGACCGAGTGCAGAAGAAGGTTAAACCCGCGAGTCGGAAACGCGTGTTTTCCTTGTGTTACTGTTATTGTTAGTGAAGTTGACGGTAACTTTAAAGTTAGTTTGTTCCTATTCCGTCGTTAAAGTTGTACCGAGTGGAATAAAAGTTGTAAGCTGAAGAAAGAGTTAATACTCGGCCATCCACGTGACAATATGAACAAAACAAAACTAACATTCTAGCATATTTAATAGGAATCACGATTATATCAGTTTTTCTGCACGATTCCCTAATATTAGTGCAGTATAATTTTTTTCCCGAGTACTATCAAAGATGCGGTATACTGAGGCTGTAGGCAAGTAGGTCTGGCAAGTAGGTACCCGTCAGTACTAAAGTAATCAGTACTTAATAATAAAATAAAAAAATAATATTACTTAGCTAATGGTTGTAATGTAATGCAGTTAACCTATGGTTTTTTTTTCAGTTCATAGTTTTTTTAAGACATTTCATCATTTTATCCGCTTGGGTAAATAAAAGTAACAAGAACTTTTTTTAGATAGTAAAATATTTTTGAAACTTGGCCATTTTAACTTCAACGTTGTTGTAAAAATTAATTATTTTTACAATGCCATTAATTTTTATTGTAACCATTTGCCATTTAAAACTACGCTCCACCTCCAGTAATAACATAGTTACTTCTGGTGCGTACTCAATTTTGGCACACCCTATATAGAACATTTTATAGAACAATGCTAATCATTCGAATTTAACTCTAATCCAAATCACCGATATCAAAAACTTTCAAGTTCCAATTATTCCTGCATGTTCTTTATCAAATTCTCATGGGTTTGATTTAAACCAATCCGCATTATTTAAACTTCTTAACTGTGGCACTCTAGTAGAGGAATTTCAATTTATAAATAAAATAGAAAATTATATTTACTATTATTTGTTTCAGTACATTTTATTTGTTTGGGTAGCCAATCATTGTTGCAATCAAGGGCGGATC